ATGTTCAATTTAGACCATTTGTTTCATTTGTTTGCAAGGACCACAATGGAAACTACTGGTTCACCAGTAATTGTGTAATCCTATAAAAAGACTTTTTTTTTTTCTGATTGGTGAATTCAGCATTTACTCTTTTCCCATGGGTGTATGCTGCTGACGTGAGCAAATGCTAAGACTATTTTTCTGCGCACGCTTGTTTTTTCTGATCATGCAAGATTTGTTAAACAAAAGGGAACTCTTGTTACAGTGTATCAATGTTATGTTCTAAAACAAATGGTAAACGCCACAGTTTGTTCATAGTTCTGCTGAACTCATTCACTGGTTGTTGGATACAGACCTTATAAAGAGGATTTTGGTCGGTATTTGAGGAAGCATGATTAAACTTTATTGAGTTGCTGGTGTGCAGTCAGTTTTTATGAATGAATTTTCGTACGCTTGTTTTCTCTTGTCATGTGAGACTACACAAACATTTTTTTGCGATGTAGCTCAATAAGTTATGTTATAAAACAAATGGTGAACACCATAGCGTGCATTATTGAGTTATGGATGCACTTGGGAGGTTTGCTAAGCACTCAAGAAGCTAGAGTCGCACGAAGCGATAACCAAGTGCAACTCTTACGCTTCTTTTGTGCTTAGAAACCTCCCGCATGCATCCATAACTCAATACTACATGCTATGGCATTCACCATTTGTTAAAGAGGAGAGAAAAACATATACCGTATTTAATCAATAAAGTGCCTGCCTCAAAAAAGCATCCAAGCTGTCTGTTTGAAAAGTGAAAAAGTGTCAAGCCTCCTCATTTAAAAAATTGTAGGGCACAAGAGAAGTATTGATCATTATTTCTATACTGGGTGATAATCTCTAAATTCACTGTTTATGGTACGTCTTCACATTTTGTCACAATTTTTTGTTTTTTTGCAAAATAAACTTACTAAGTTCTGAAAAAAGTGAAAATTTGAAATGCACTCCACCTTGAATAAGCACCTACTCTCAAGGTCCAGGGCATTTTATTGATAAAATATGTTATACATGTATTTTGATAACTTGAAAGAGAGTCAGGGATCAACAATAACTTTTCAGCTTGCTAGCCAAGTGGCTTGTGACATCTTAGATGTTATGACAATTTCAGTTTGTTTACTAGTTAAACTGGCTTATAGAAATAAAAAACCACCAGACAAAACCGAATTTCTACTAGTCTGTGGCTGGTTGGCTACTGTTAGTGTTGAGCCCTTAAAGTAATATGAAAGAGAAAAGTAACTTTGATGGGAGGGTATAATTATTTAGATAGGAACAGCGATAGAGAAAGAATAAGGAGGCAATGTCTTAGAATGAGTTGTTATGGCCGTTAAATATTCATCAAACAATAAACAGCAAAAAAAATTATTAGAAACGAGGTGTTGCACTACTGCCTTTCAGCTGGTTCTTTCAAGCTAAATGAGTATGTTTTTCTTGTAGTTCCGAGAAAAGAGAATTGAACAAGAAAGGGAGCTTATTGAGCGACAGAATAAATGGCTGAATGAAGAACTCAAAAACAAAACTGATGAACTAGTACAAACTCGGAAAGAAAAGGTATTTGGTCTTTGCAGATGTTCATTTTAGTGCCAGTTGGTTCAGGCCAAAATTTCCCTTAACTATTCTTAATACTGTTATTTACCAAATTTCTCTGCTGAAAATATTTTTAGCAAGGTCTTTTGTTTCTTCTTCCTCCACATCAGTGAAACTGTGAAATACACTGTAATTGATTTTTATTTTTTTACAAAATTGATCTAATATTGTCTTCTTTATAGTCATCCCAAGTATTGGAACTTCAATCACAGTTGGATGAGAAAACTGAAGAGGTTAGAAGTTCATTAGCTTTGACATTTTGGGAATATTCTTCTTTATGTTGTACTTCACAAATTCAAAAGTTGGAACAGCTTTTTGCATGCAGTTAATCTCTTTATGCTTTTTCTAAACGTTTTTAGGTATACAGTAAATAATGTTTTTTTTTGTGTGTGCATCTTTCAGCTTTCTCATCTTAAAGCATCATCAGAGACCTTAAAAGAACAGAGTAATGCAATGAACAGCAAAGTCCTAAGCTACATGCAGCAGCTACAAGCGGTGAGGGTTTTGAGTAACATGCCTTTTAACCCATTCACTCTCAAGATCTTATTGGTGTAAATATAATTCTCCTTACTCCCATGGCGCCTATTGATAACGGTTTCTGCTAACGGGTTTACCCTGGTTAAATAAATTATGTTGTTATTATTATTATTATTATTATTATTATTATTATTATCATTGTTATTATTACTGTCCACTATGCATTTTGTATAATCAAGTGTTAGATGTCGTCCTTAAATAGCATAGTGTTATAAAGTCAGACGTGTAAATCAAGTGAGGCCAGGTATGCTTCACAGGGTTTCTGCACTCCTTGAAAGTCCTTGAAAGTCCTTGAATTTAATTTTTTTGTTTTCAAGGACTTGAAAACCCTCGAATTTAGACCCAGGTCCTTGAAAATTTCAGAAAAGTTCTTGAAAATAAGAGGAGATGAATCAAAGTTGAACTTTTCTTTTGTTTCCAGGGTTGAAAGTGTAAGTTTCTAGCACAAATTGCTAAAACGAGTTTTCCTTTCAAATTCCTTGTCCGATTATGATGTTTGACACACAATTTTTATGTCTTGTATCTTACAAAGACATGAGTGTATTTCTATCTGTTACTTTTAACAATAAAGAGCAATGTTTTTTATTTCTATTAGCTCATTTTTAATGCAAAAAGTCCTTGAATTTGAAAACCAAGATCCTTGAAAATGACGTAAAAAGTCCTTGACAGTCCTTGAATTGGGTTCCTGAAAAAGTGCAAGAATCCTGGCTTCTTTAGTTTAGTTTTCTGAACTTTCCCTGATCTACGGCATCATCAGGGAAGGTAGATGGAATCTTTGAAGTGAAGAGTTTATTGGGTGAGGTTTTAGGCTAGATAATAAAGGTTCAGTAGACAATAAGACAGGACAGTGGCAGGTATGTAAATGGAGTAGAAATAGTCAGAAGAAAAGGTCTACTGAACCTCTCTTTCTCATTCCTTGATGATGCCATAGATCAGGAAAAGCACTGAAAACTCAATTATTGTAGCATACCTGGCCTCCCTTGATTTACATGTCTGATTACATACAATCTTAGTTCTGAGGATGTGGTGGCGGGCCGTATTTTTCTGGATTTGTGGCCTTCACAGAAAAAGCTTGTTCCAAAACTTACAACACAGACCTTGAATTTGGTTAGTAAAAGGTATATACCAGCTTACTAAATGCATTATTTTGTTTGCAGGCTCGTGAGCAGTTGATTAAGATGGAAGACAACTTCAAAACAGAACTAGCTTCGCAGTCAAAGCTGGCAGTACTTTATAAGGTGATCTTTCTGGAGTATTTAATAACTTTCTGCCATTTTAGAGGGTGGCAAAGGTTTTATAAATGCATGGTATGAGGGCCAAAATTTATAGGCAAAGCATGACTTTTACAGAAAGATGGTGATTTTACTTAGAAATATATATGACCTGTTAATTTTTCGTCTATTTCAAGAAAACATGAAGATTTCCCTAAAACATTGCCTGCATGAAGAGAGATTTGAAGTTTTCCCTTTTAAATTGGTGATGTGTGAAATGCAGTTAAACCCATTGATGGCTGCAGCTTTTGTGGAAAACTGTGTTTTGAAGCTAGTCGAGCCGATTTCGGGTCACTGTTGTGGTTTTAAAAGCTCAAACTTACCAAAAACCCCTTGACAGCTCGTACACTC